TTTCTTTCCTTCCTTCCTTCCTTCCTTCCTTCCTTCCTTCCTTCCTTCCTTCCTTCCTTTCTTTCTTTCTTTCTTTCTTTCTTTCTTTCTTTCTCTCTTCACTCAAGTTGTCAGTATCCAGAAGCTGCCTGTTAAGGCAGCTAAAGGTCTCACTTTCCCTGTCAAAGGCTGGCGAGGAATGGTGGATTGGGCTCGCAATGCAGAAGACAAGGTCACCATATCGAAAAGCATCTTCTCCACAGGAGTATCAGGTGAGACTAAACGGTGCAAGTTCCCGGTGGAATACAATCTGTTTATGCTTTCTAAACTTTCGTCCTTTCTTGTTATGTCCTTTTATTTCTGCTTTAAATATATATATATATATAAGGAGAACTCAGTTCTTAGACCACCAATCTGAACTTGGAGTTACCTAGCAAAGCAGAACAGAATAGCAGAGTTGGAAGGGACTTTGGAGGTCTTCTAGTCCAACCCCCAGCCCAAGCTATGCAAATGGCTGTCAAGTCTCTTCTTTAACACCTCCAATGTTGGAGCACCCACAACGTCTGGAGGAAAGTCCTTCCACCAAACAGCCAAGCTCAGGGTGTCTATGGAAATTCTCAATTATCCAGGGCACACTTGTCCCAAAGGTGCTTTTCCAAAAGGTAACTGGGTTTTCTTGGTTTTTTTTCCTTGAAATATTTTGTTTCTCATCCAGGAACTTTCTTCAGTTCTGAAGAAGCTTGTTTGATGAGAAGTAGCATTGATGATGTTACCTAGTTTGGGTAATGAAATGTCTGCTAGAAAACAAGCAAGCTGAGAGAGCACCAAGGACCCCACCATCCTCCTCCTCCTCCTCCTCCTCCTCCACCCTTCTAGCACTGATGTTGTTACCTAATTGGGTCCTGAAATGTCTGCAAGGAAACAACCAAGCTCAGAGAGAACCAAGGACTCCACAGTCATCTTCCTCCTCCTCCTCCTCCTCCTCCTCCTCCTCCTCCCCCCTCCCCAATTCCTGCTCCCTTCTAGCTTTGATGATGCTACCTAGTTGGGTAATGAAACATCTGCAAGAAAACAACCAAGCTAAGAGAGCATTAAGGACTCCATAGTCCTCCTCCTCCTCCTCTTTCTCCTCCTCCTCTTTCTCTTCCTCTCCTCTTTCTCCTCCTCCTCCTCCTCTTCCTCTTCCTTCTTCTCTTCCTCCTCCTCCTCTTCACAAATCCCACTCCCTTCTAGCACTGATGATGCTACCTAGTTGGGTAATGAAACATCTGCCAGAAAACAACCAAGCTCTGAGAGCACCAAGGACCCCACAGTTTACTTCTGGGTTACAAATATTCTCTTCTATTGGTATGTGATCAATCAGTCCAGTAGGTCTGCCCTTAGGCAATTGAGAACCCATTCTTCCAGAAAGAAGATCCAAAGTTTTGCCTTGTGCATGGACAGAGTCCCTATTTGAATCCTCTCCGAAATACCCGAAACCTCAAATAGGAAGCACACCTTTTCAAAGTTCTTCTCCACTCCAAATAAGTATAGATAGAAGGTCAGGTCCTCAGTGAGGCTGCCGAGGCTCGAACATCCCTCTCTAGTGACCTTCCCTTTCACAGAAGTAATTGAGAACAACAGGATTATGGGTGCCAGATGAATGCTAATTGCCAGCCTGAGAAATTGCTAGCAGGGAAGAAATAAAGCTGCTTCTACAGAAACGGCAGGAAAACATTAAATGCAATTTAAATTTGGCCCATTGTTGCAGACTTCTAGGTCGGTGGGCAGGTGGGGGAGGGGGAGGCAAGTTGAACACATGGGAAGGCTGAGACAGACAGCAGCAAACATTAACGCAACGAACAGGAGAAGCCACAAAACAGAGAGCAGGGAGGTGCATGTTCCTTGCCAGTGGCCATCTGCGAATCCTACCATGCTCCCAAAATAATCTGAGGATCCATCCCTGAGCATATCGGATTGATAAAGAAACAATGGATGGAAACTGACCAAAGAGAGAAGCAACCTGGAATTAAGGAGAAACTTCCTAATGTTTGCCTTCAGAAGAATAGAATAGAATAGAATAGAATAGAATAGAATAGAATAGAATAGAATAGAATAGAATAGAATAGAATAGAATAGAATAGAATAGAATAGAAAATATGGAATGGAATGGAATGGAATGGAGTGGAGTGGAGTGGAGTGGAATGGAATGGAATGGAATGGAATAGAATAGAATAGAATAGAATAGAATAGAATAGAATAGAATAGAATAGAATAGAAAATATGGAATGGAATGGAATATGGAATGGAATAGAATAGAATAGAATAGAATAGAATAGAATAAAAAATATGGAGTGGAATGGAGTGGAGTGGAGTGGAGTGGAGTGGAGTGGAGTAGAGTAGAGTAGAGTAGAGTAGAGTAGAGTAGAGTAGAATAGAATAGAATAGAATAGAATAGGAGCTGGTAGGGACCTTGGAGGTCTTCTAGTCCAGCCCCCTGCTCAAGCAGGAGAACCTACACGGTCTCAGACAGGTGAATGTCCAGTCTGTTCTTGAAAATATCCAGTGATGGAGCGCCCACGATTTCTGGAGGTAAGCTGTTCAGACATTGTGGGTGCTCCAACAATGGAGGTTTCTAAGAAGAGCTTGGACAGACATTTGTCTGAAGTGCCCTATACCACTTCAGGGGTGTCAAACTCGCAACGTCACGTGTCGCAACGTATCATGACTTTTTTTTCTATTGCTGGCAATGGGGTGGGCGCAATTTCACCATGACGCATCCAGCCCGCGGGCCAGCAATTTGACACCCCTGGTATAGGGTCTCCTGCTTGAGCGTGTGTGTGTGTGTGTGTGTGTGTGTGTGTACTAGAAAAAGGTCCAAGGTCCCTTCCAACTCTCTTTATTCTGTTAAGGGTGTCACTCAAAGCTCAGCATTCACCCTTGAAAAAAAAACCTACCACCCTGACCTAGAAATGTCTCCTAGGACTGCTTCTGAGGATAAAAGGGGAAAAGGTGTGTGGGGGGGTCTTTCTCCTCCCTTTACCCCTTAAAGATTGGCAAACCGGTTGAACAACGGCAATGCGACGGTTGTCCTAAAGGTGCTTTTTCAAGAGACAACTGGGCTTTCTTTGGTTTTCTTTGAAGACGTTTCGCTTCTCATCCAAGAAGCTTCTTCAGTTCTGACTGAATGGTGGAGGATAGAAGGATTTAAACGCCTGGCACAACATAGGACAGTGATGGCGAACCTTTTAGAGACTGAGTGCCCCAAAACCGGCCCCGCCCCCCACTCCGCTCCCCTCCCTGCCCGCTCCACCCCACCCCACATGCTCCACCCCTGCTCCACTCCGCCCCACTCACCCGCAGGGCTACCCACCGCCTCTACGGCCTGCTGCAGATTGCCCAGGCGGTCCAGCAGTGCCATGGCAGCCACGCCCTCCGCCTGCGCCCCGCAGCATCAACTGCACGTGACAGGCTGTGAGGGCAGAGTCTTGTCCCCATTGCCCGACTGCCATGTCCTTGGCTGTGCTGCTCCGCATGGGCAGCGCTCGGGAGCGACTCTCCTCCAGGGGGGCTGCTGGTGAGGAGGGGGCCATGGGGGAGGTGGGGCTGGGGCAACGGTGCATGTGCCCACAGAGAAGGCTCCGAGTGCCGCCTCTGGAACGCGTGCCATAGGTTCACCACCACTGACGTAAGAGAACAAACCTATCAGGACAAGATTCAGCAGTCCCAACTTCATTTGAAGACAGCAAACTCATTCTTTTGAAGACAGCAAAGTCCACATTCTGGACAGAGAGGACCGCTGGTTTGAAAGAGGAATCAAAGAGGCCATCTAGGTCAAAACTGAACAGCCCTCTCTCAACAGAGGGCGAGGGACACAACGCCACCTCTCTCCAGTTTACAACACGGTCCTTTCAGTAGTCCCAAGAAGGTTCCACACCCATTTGCACTATTCAGGTGACCCTGGGGCAGTGGTGGGATTCAGCCGGTTTGCACCGGTTCGGCAGAACCGGTAGCTAAATTTTGCTGAGTTCGGAGAACAGGCTGAATGGACACTGCTTCCGGAAGTTCAGTCTAGGCCTGGGAGGCCTCCTCCAGCCCACCAGAAGTGCGTGGATGCTACTTCGGAAGTCTGTTCTAGGCCTCAGATGCCTGGAGGAGGCCTCCCAGACCTAGAACAGCCTGCCAGAAGTGCGTGGATGCAACTTCGGAAGTCTGTTCTAGGCCTCAGATGCCTGGAGGAGTCCTCCCAGGCCTAGAACAGCCTGCCAGAAGTGCGTGGATGTGACTTCGGAAGTCTGTTCTAGGCCTCAGATGCCTGTAGGAGGCCTCCCAGGCCTAGAACAGCCTGCCAGAAGTGCGTGGATGTGACTTCGGAAGTCTGTTCTAGGCCTCAGATGCCTGGAGGAGGCCTCCCAGGCCTAGAATGGCCCACCAGAAGTTCGTGGATGCGACTTTGAAAGTCTGTTCTAGGCCTCAGATCCCTGGAGGAGTCCTCCCAGGCCTAGAACGGCCTGCCGGAAATGCATGGATGCCACTTCCGGAAGTTCATCCTAGGCCTCGGTGGCCCAGGCCTACATCCAATAAGAGAACCGGTTGTCCAGGTATTTCAATCCCACCCCTGCCCTGGGGGCACAGATAAACCTCCAAGCGGCCTCAACAACTCTCAGGGAGAGTACTAANCCTGGAGGAGTCCTCCCAGGCCTAGAACGGCCTGCCGGAAATGCATGGATGCCACTTCCGGAAGTTCATCCTAGGCCTCGGTGGCCCAGGCCTACATCCAATAAGAGAACCGGTTGTCCAGGTATTTCAATCCCACCCCTGCCCTGGGGGCACAGATAAACCTCCAAGCGGCCTCAACAACTCTCAGGGAGAGTACTAATGACCAGATGACTGCAAGGAATATCAATCTTTCCGTCCTCCACCATTCAGTCAGAACTGAAGCAGCTTCTCGGATGAAGATCAAGGACAAATAAAGTCCAGTGGCCTCTTGAAAAAGCACCTTTGGGACATCCCGTCCTATTCTCTCCATAAAAAGCTGCTGACGAAGCGCAGCCTACTGAACAAGCTTGACATCCATTTCATTCCCAACTTCTATTTCCAAACAGTATTTGTCCCGTGGGCCGGTGGTGTCCCTTCACGGCACAAGTTTAGCAAATCCGCGCAGGGCAACCTAATTGTGCTGCAGCCAGTATGTTTCTTTCTTTCTTTTTTTTTTTAAAGGAAAACATTAAATTGAAGAGGCACTTAATTGGAGCAGCAGCGGTACAATGGGAATAGACGATCAGGCGCATGCAGGCTGGATGGTTGAGGATTGCTAATTGAAAAAGGACTTAAGTACCCTCAATTACAAAGGTTGCTTTCTTGCGTCCCAAAGCAACACACAAAAAAGCAACTCCAGATCAAATCGCATTAAAGCTAAAGCCAACCACTTTATTCTTAACAACGTGATCGTTTTGTAGATTGGAGCTGGTGTTTGGATCAGGGCTGTTCAACCTTTCCACCCATTGTGCGAGTACCACCAGTCGCCTAGCAAGGTGACCAAAAACTTGATGACCCCCCCCCAAAAAACGGAAAAAAGTGATAAAGTACAGGTAGTCCTCGACTTACAGCAGTTCACTTAGTGTCTGTTCGAAGTTACAGTGGCACTGAAAAAAGTGCCCCCCAAGCCACAGCCGAGCAAGACACCTGCCTGCCCCCCCCCTGGTGGCGCTCTTCCTCCTGTCCGAGGTTTTCATTGTTGTGAGCATTTCTGTTGAAGATTGGCAGTGGGGGTGGGGTGGGGGGGTGTTTGGTTTTTATTCTCCCACCCCCATCTGCTGGGTGGTTGCAGCAGGTTTTGGTCACTTCACATGACCCTGGGACACTGTGACCGTCATAAATATGAATCAGTTGCCAAGCATCTGAATATAAATCACAAGACCCTGGAGAGGCTGCTACATTCCAGCTGATCGGCGCTTCTTCTGGGCTCAGCAGAAGCACCAGGATCAGCGCCGAACTCCAGGTAGAGCCTGGCACTGATCCTGGTTCTTCTGCTGAGCCCTGACAGCCCTGCAGCTCCAGCTGTCTCTCGCTCAAGCTTGTGTGGTGCTGCCACTGGTTCAGCTCATTCCCCTCCCCCACTACCACTTTTCTAGGATGGTTGCGTACCACCTGCCAGGTGCCAATGTACCACAGGTGGTACCCGTACCACTGGTTGAAAATCCCTGGTTTAGATGACTCCTATACACAGAAGAATCCGTTTATAATTGACACCTCACCACCAAGCTGGCCAAGAAGTCAGTGGATGACAGTCTGTGCAAATTCAAATTCAACTTCCTTAATCCCCTTTTCCTACAAGCATCATGTCTGGATGAAGTTGATAGTGTAGGATACATGAAGCATGGACAATGTCACCTGGGAAGCCCTTTATGGGTTTTGGGGGCCATTTTAGAATCATGCGGCTGGAAGGGACCTTGGAGGTCTTCTAGTCCAACCCCCTAGCCCAGTGGTGGCGAACCTATGGCACGCGTGCCAGAGGCGGCACTCAGAGCCCTCTCTGTGGGCACGCTCACCATGCCCCGGAAATGGCAACCGTCCCTCTTCAACCAGCCACCTGCTAACTCGCCGAGGTCCCACATGGCCGGATGCATCCCGGCATGGCTGGTTTCCCTCCCTCCCGTCCCATCCCTCCTGGCCTCGCATGCTCTCCTTTTCCCGGGCACAATCCACTGCATCACCTCCTCAGCTGTCAGCCAGCTGTCCAGCTCAGAGGCGGCTTCTCTGAACTGCTGGCAGCAGGCTGCAGTGCCCCAGAGTGTGCCGGTCGAGGGGCAAGCAGGCTGTGGCTGCTGACGGACACTGTCGGCCCCCCATGCACTTGCTGGCCTCTGTGTGTGGGGGCTGATGGTGTCAGGCAGCAGCCGCCCTGGCCCCTGCCTCACCTCACCCTGCAACAATGGCACCCCCGCCCTGCCTCACCTCGCCTCACCCCGCAGGACGAGCCTCGTGCCCACTGCCCCACCCACCAGAGACCCCTGGATCTCCCCCAACCCTGTCTGGCCCCCACAGGAATCTCTGCCCACGAGCAACCTTGAGGTGACCACGCCCACCTTGGCCACACCCACCCAGTCTGCCATGACCACCACAGCCACACCCACCCAGTGGGCCACGCCCACCTGGCACCTGGCGATAAATAAGTGGGTTTTGGGTTGCAGTTTGGGCACTTGGTCTCTAAAAGGTTCGCCATCACTGCCCTAGCCAAAGCAGGAGGCCTCACACCATCCTGGACAAATGGTTGCCCAATCTTTTCTTGAACATCACCAGCAATGGAGCACCCACAACTCCAGGAAGCAGGCTGTTCCACTGATTAATCGTTCTCACTGTCAGGAACTGTGCCTTGTTTCCAGATTGGATGTGTCTGTGGCGATGCTGCAATGGTTGTAAGCGTGAAAAATAATCCTAAGTCACTTTTTTAGGTGCCGTTGTAACTTTGAATAGTCACTAAATGGACTGTTGTAAGTCGAGGACTCCCTGTACTCATTAAGGCTGGTTTGAGGCACTGGTCATTATCTGACGGATTTGGATCCCTGTTGTGCAAAACCTGGCAACACTGTACGTTGCGGTCGGATTTGTATCTGCAACCATCAGGGAAGCATAATTGTCCTGTGGGTCCAATGAATTGCAATTATCTCTGGGTTGCTAATTGTATTTTATTTCTCTTTTTCATTGTCTTAACTCTTAATTGTTCTGATGATCATTGGTTGCCCGTAATCACTGTTTTGAGCTGGATGGCTGTACAAATGGAGGACAAGGGGCGATAGCAGTATTCCAGTAGTTGAGGGGCTACTACAAAGAAGATGGGGTCAACCTACTCCCCAAAACGCCTGAAGGCAGGACGAGAAGCAACGGATGGAAACTAATCAAGGAGAGAAGCAGCCTGGAACTAAGGAGAGATTTCTTGACAGTGAGAACAATTAACCAGTGGAACAGCCTGCCTCCAGAAGTTGTGGGTGCTCCAGCACTGGAGATTTTCCAGAAGAGACTAGACAGCCATTTGTCTGAAATTTTATAGGGTCTCCTGCTTGAGTAGGGGGTTGGACTAGAAGACCTCCAAAGTCCCTTCCAAATTTGTTATTCTGTTAAATAAATCCACCTCTCCTTTTTTTCTTGGTTCTTGCTGTTGTGATTCTTTTGTTCCACTTCTCTTCTCACTTCTCTTGGTTGCTTCTTCACAGACACTGATGACTCCTCCGTCTTTGTGGTGGGCACGGTGATTTATCGCAACCTGGCCGGGATCCTGGGCCTTCAGAGGTAAAGTGGAGATATATATAACATCCATGAAGTTGGAGAGAGGTGATGGAAATGGCCCATTGCTATGTTTGGAATATCCTCAATGAGAGCTAGCCACAGTGACTTTGATCTTGCATATTTGACCTCCCGAGCAGAATTTTGGTATGTGGGCTGTAGCGAACAGGACAATAAACCTGGCCTTCTGGGCTAGCAAAGTCAAAAATCAGACTTTTGCAGGAATCAACTTGTCAAGGGATTGCGCAGCAGTCGGAGACCCTGACACAAACATGTAATTTTTTATATAAATATAAGTATATTTAACGTTTAAATCCAGAAAAAGGAGGAATGGAAGATAATCAGGAACATAGGAACCTCGTGAGGTAAATCTAAAACCTAGCTGTCTTGCTGAAATAAAACTCCAACACAAAAGCCAATAAACCCTTCAGTCCTTTGGTGAGAAGAATCAAACCATCTCTCTCTCTCTCTCTCTCT